ATTTGGCCAGAAGAGCAGGACGCTTATTCCGATCTTTGAAGCAATTGGAGGGTGCCTCCCGCTCTCCCATCTACGGCTCCTTCTCTGAGACGCTGGTCGGGCTCCAGACCATCCGTGCCTGGAACATGCAGGACCGGTTCCGCGAGCAGCACATGCGGCGGGTGCGGGAGAACACACGACACTTCTTCTGCTGTAAGATGGCCGAGATCTGGCTCCAGTTCCGGCTGGAGCTTCTTACCGTCGTGCTGATCGGGAGTTTCAGCTTCTTGGCTGTCTCACTTCGCAGCTCTGTGGAGGGGAGCCAGGCGGGGTGCCGAAATCACAGATACCATGAAACCTTTGGGCAACATTTCAAAAGGAACCCGACGCTTTGAGATTTGCAGGTGGCGGTGGCCCTGGTTTACGCCATTCAGCTGACGGCCATGTTCCAGCGGGTGACGCACCTTGTGATTCTCATTGGACAGTTGCTCACTGCTTGTGGGCGGGTCCAGTCCTTTGAGTTGGTGCAGCAAGAGCCTGGATTGGTAGCGCCCACGGACAAAGATTTGCCATCGCCTCGAGGGTCTTTGGACTTCGAAAAAGCTGCTTGGCTGTCCGTATTGGTACGCCCTTCGGCTTGGAGCTGTGAGCCTGGGCATTGCTGAAGGTGCTTAGTTCCAATTTCGGGGGTGTGAACCTTTTCCCTCCAAACAGATATTTGCTCAGTGCTCCAAAAGCAGCATCCATAGCCTTAGAGATGTGGAGGACAAGGCAACGCAGCACCTTCCGCTTCCAAGTTTAATTCCCTCAAAGGCCGATCCGAGGTCTCCATGCGATATCGGGACGGTGACCTGGTTTTGAAGGATGTCAGCTTTTCGATCGCTGCGGGCACCCGTGCGCCTTCGCCTCACATTGGCACATTGGTGGAATATGTCTGAGTGATATCATGATATCATGTATCTTTCGCTTTGAGATGAGGTCGGAGTTTGTGGCCGAAGTGGCGCCGGCAAATCCAGCATCATCTCAGTACTCTTCCGAGTGGTGGTGCCTTGCCAGCATGTGGCTATGTGTCGTTGGTGGAATCACTCAACCAGGATGGCGCTTCAATCTGAGGAAAGCAATAGTTTTTGCGGGATTTTCCTGCCCAGCAAACGGGCAATTGATTTGCTGCGTCAGTGTTTGCTTTTGAAGCGGTGACGGTGGCCATTCCATGAAAGAGAATGCAAATCAAACTGCATATCCCTGACCTGAAGCTGCTGCGACTTGCCAAAGATCAGGAGCCATGCAGCGGGCGCATCCTCATTGACGGCAGCAACATTGCATCCATGGGCTTGCACACATTGCGCCGGACTTTGGCCATTATCCCCCAGGAGAGATGCTAAAGGAACATCAGTGAAACGACTGGACGGGCTTGAGCGGATCCTCTTAGTTGCAGCAATCCCGTAGCGATCCTGCACCCGTGAGATCATGCAACGAGGATCCTGTCATCTTCAGTGGAACGCTGCGTTCCAACCTGGATCCCTTTGGACAGATCGGTGATGACACGGCGCTTCTGGGGGCATTGCGCCAGGTGGGGCTTGCTAGCCTCTTGGATGGACCAAGAATTGTCAGAGCCAGGCAGGCTGGGTTGAAGACAGCTTTCATCTTAAAGTCGCAGGTGGCCACTTATCATTGCAATTGCAGAACGCACAGCCGCGACCAGAAAGGCACCAGAAAGGCTCATATTTGACCATTTCGTTTCGGGATCCAGTCCCCAGACCCCAGGACTCGTTGACTGGTTGACTGAGTCACGAGCAGACTTTGCCAATCTGAGCAGATGCCGTTGGGTAGTGAGCTGTCCAGGGCAACCACGGATGTGTTTTTCTCATGTCAAGTAAACGGGCTTGGGGCCGATTCTATCGTGCGATTGGCTCCGAGGCTTGGGGGGCCTGAACAGTGTAGTGGCGGAGCAGGGGGAGAACCTCTCACAGGACGTTCCTGCCGCGATTTCGAAATTGCCAGGGCGACTCATGGCAATATCTAGCTGGTGGACATAAACCCTGGTGTAAATGATGTTCACCAAAGGGTCCGCACTATAAATGCGTCCTAGCACGGGAGATCCCACAAAATGATGGGTTCCCGTTAGCCTTCCCTTGACAGACCCCCCAGAAGAAGCCCCCTATTTTTTGGGTCACTGTATTGTATTTGGGCGAATTGGCTCAAACTTACCGAGGAGCTTGCTAGCTTGGTGATTGCAACTTGGTGGCTTCAACTAACTGTGATTAAGGGCCATAGGCCTCCCATGGCATATGGCTCCGAATCAGTATTGGATTTTGTCATTGTGCTGATGAGGCCGGTGTCAAGATTCAAGCGTTCGCATTTCAAGCGGAAACATAAATGCGAGAGTGCGTTTTGTTCAGGTGTAGACCAGGACAGTTGTCTATCGACTCAGTTTTCATGGACCCTGAATAAGCAGGAAGGTTGGGGGCAGAGTCCGGACCGAGGGAGGAATATGTGTGCAATGGCAGGTGCTTAATGTTTCGCTGGGTTGGGGCCAATGAATCATTGTGACAAGAGAGAAACTGGCAGCAACTCATTAGAATTGGGGACGATGGGGGACTACTCAGCCATCCCAACATGGGAGTTAAGCTATTGCACATACTTTCAGGCCCTCGTTCGCGATTGGCTCAGTTGCACTGCGAAGACATTGCCGGTGCTTGACAAGCGCCTTCCAAGGCGCCTTGTATGAAGGCTGAAAGCTTGATGTTCAATCTGTACGGCCATGCTACCGGACTCTCTGTGACCCTTGGGCCTCGCTTTGGCGCAACATGGGGCGAGCTCCAATTGTTGGTGAGTTTAAAAGGAAACTACCCATTTACGGAGTCCCCTAATTCCGGGACACTTACGAGCAGTAAGGCGGCAAGGCATTCAATCATCCCGCATCAGAACAATGATGCACAAACAGGAAGTTTGCGAACGAGTGCAAACGTCTTGATGCTACACATCGCAAGACCGAGCAGAGTGAAAACTGTTCAGGTGTCGGAGTGTTTGGGCGTCTCTTGTTTTGAAGGAACCCCTCTTTTGATTGGTTTTGAATGGACAGCAATAGGAAAACGGAGATGCATGATGGGGGGGTCCCCTAAAAAGACACACCCGTTTCCTTTTTGGCTCGAAGATGCGGGTACTGTACTGTAACACCTTCAGAAGTTGTAGGCGAACCCGGAACCCGTAGGGTGGTATCACTATTATTTTGGACAGACGGTTGGACGATCGCTCACATGGAGACTGGTATTGCTACTTCAGACCCAATAAGATTGTTAGATGCTTGATTGTTGCGGGCTGCAAAGATACCCGTGGGAACTATGACATGCCCGATGCATATTGTACTCGTTTGGTTTTGAGGGGGTTGCTCCCATATCATTTTGGATGTCAGGGCCAGCGGCAGCTTCTTTGCATTGCCCGGGTGACTTGGCATCTGTGTGCTTGTGCGGGTGTCTTGTTGTTGAGTTTGGGGTTCTTTAAGACCCCGGACAAGAGCACATGTTCTCAGGGAGGAGAACGCGTCATGTCCATGTCCCCCGCCCAAAGAGTCCTCACCTTGGTGGTGAAACTATGGGTCGCTTCAAGATCTGGGGAGGCGAGCCGTCCTTCAACCGTAAGGTTCAAGGTGGGCCCGTTCGCACCCTCCAAAGAAAGCAAACTCGCGTTCAGGACACACGAGTCCTGCCTGTTCCAGTTGAGGGCAAGTTTCGCTCGGCAGCATGTGCACGACCAGGTATTTGTGAGGCAGTCCCGCATCATGGTTTTGGATGAGGCAACATCTTCGATGGAATCTTGGCTTTACCAATGACGGATGTTTTTCACATGAGTGCTGTGCTTGCCATTGGCAAACATTGCATGTGCCTAAAGGATGAGAAAACAGATGACTTCATCAGGAATTTGCTGAAGGACACCTGGTCAGAAGGACCCGCGATCGAGCTAAAACACGCCTCGCGCAGGCTTGTATTCATTGGGTGCCTGTTTCGTGTAAGTGGCCTGCCCAGCCAACCGAACGGCTGATTTGCTCCTCCGAGCCCACTTTTACGTGTGACAAGCATGTGCCAAAAGAGGATCTTACGCCAATGAGTACACTTTTCGGAGTTTAGGGAGTTGCCAGTGCCCTCCAGCATCTATTTCCCGGCAGTTCGCCCGACTGTCCTCACCATCGCTCATCGCCTCAGCACCATCATGGACTATGACAAGCGGCTCGACAAGAAGTTTGTTTGCCCCTACCAGGCAGCAGGGCGCAAGCCATTCTCAAATGGGACGTTGGTGGTGGTCTTGAAAGGAAAACGCAAGTACAAACGGCAAGGGTTGAATCACGAGGGGGGCAGTTGGCAGCTGAGGATCCTGGTTCTTTCTGCGGGCAGGAGGGTCGAGTATGACTCTCCCTTTGAGCTGATGTCCCGGCCTGACAGCCATTTTGCAAGGATGCTGTCATTCGGCTGCAAGACAGTGGTGTGACAGGGGTGGGCCAGGTCTCAATGAGTTTGTGTGAAGGGCAGATTTTGGATGTGTGGATGAGAGCACGCACCGCACTGAAACCCCGTGTAAGGCGGGAGGTGGTGCCGAATACCAAAGCGTCTCTCTGACAGAGCAGGACATTCGGCCTGAGCTCTAGGGGACCATTCCTCACGCATTGGAATCCTTCCCACTTTTCCGTATGGCGCACAAGCGCTGGCACACTGCCAGCCCAAAAAGGGCAGGCAGCGGCCTTTGCTTGAGGCGAGCAGCTCAAAAGTGCCGAGTTGTCTTAGCGGATCCAGCCACGAGAAGGACTTGTCAAACAAAGCGGGGATCATGTGAGCTTTGTTAAACGATTTCTTGAAGCATGGGAACTGCCCGAAAAGGCATAGGATGCATGAGAAATGGGTAATTAGCGTCCCAACATCCCAAAGCTAAGAAAGTCCTTGTGTTCATGGATGTGGCCTCGTTCTTCCATAGATTTTCTTGAGGCCCAAATGCGGCATACAGGTATCTAGGTGGCCCAGCCGTCCTCTCAGGCTAGGTGCTGGTAGCGGCGAATGGGTTCGGCTCTCACCTACTTGAGTCTTTTCAATTGCAACATGCAGTTTGCCTTTATCTGACAACTCCAAAGGTTGCTGCGCAGGCCAAAGCTGATGAGACAAACTGGGTGCTTCTTGCATGTTTCAATGTCGTTTGCCTTTGGTGAGCCAGATATTCAGCCGGCGCTCGGTCGACCCCCCATTGTTTCTGCCCAATGTTTGTTCAAGCGCCGCACAACTCCCTGGGAAGCGCTGGCAAGAAAGGCGGAAGGACACACAAACAGGCACCCCTTTAGACGATATGTTTCATCGCTTGCCTTTTGAAACGATGGCTCCGCGTTTCGGGGTCCAGTGGTCCAACTCTAGCAGTTCCTCTCTGGCAGGTGGCCCTGGAGCTGATGCGCGATCGGGCCGCAACCTGGGACCGGTCGTCAAATTTGGGGTTCCATCCGCTTTTTGGGTGTAATTTGATGGTGTCCCATCTTCGTAAAGAGAGTAAAAAGGAAACTTTTTCAGGGGGCTTCAGGGGTCAGAGAGTGCAGTTGTCCAGGCGCATAGCGTTCTGCGAAGGGCAGCTTTTCAGGAGGGCAGGGTTCGGTGCCTTATTGTGCATGCCAGGGAAGTACTTGTGGGCACAAGCGTTCTGATTTCTGCCTTTGTCTGAAGTTGTTGCCAACAACGTGAGATGTTGCTGGCTGTCTGGCTGGCTGCCTGGTTGCCTGATTGGCTGCCTTGTTTGTTGGTGCTTGCTTCCAGTTTTTGTCGTGGCCGCGGCCGTTTTTGGTTGTTATTAATGCGTCTTT